AGCATCTTGAGGATTTACCAATTTTTGTTTCAACAGATCATATTCATTGTAACGAAGAAACAATCCTTGTCTTGTTGGTATCTGAGTCTTTGATCCGTTGATGAATCGTTCATTCGTCGACGGATATCAATAAATGTAGTTCCATTGGTTGATTTAGCTCGCTGAACAGTAAGATAAAGTTTTGGAGAAATTTCAACACAGAGTAATTGTTGAAACCGATCTTCAAAGCCTGATGTTGATGGTCTATCTCTTCCAGACGGTGGTTGAGTTGTTGGTTGTTGTACTGGTTCTTGTTGAGTTGGTTCAGGTTGAGTTGGTTCAGGTTGAGTTGGTTCAAGTTGAGTTGGTTCAGGTGAAGCAGGAGAGTCAGGAATATTTGTTGAATCCATTTCAAGTTGATGGTTCAGAGTTGAAGAGTAGAATGAACTTCATGTTGAAGAGTCTCCATATTTATACTCTCCGATTGATGCATAGCCCAACCCACTACTCCCTCTTTCTGTCAACTTGATTGATGAGAAACTTGTTTTGAGTATACCCAAGGTAACTTTACTTAAGACTTTATCATTAATTCAATTCATCTTTCCCCTATTCATCGAGATCATTATCATCTCAGTCATCAAAACTCATCAAGGTCAATTTCTTAATAAAGACAATAGTATTATACTAAGTTGTATGTATTATATTCCCAATCACCACGAGTTTTCCCGACTTTCAATCTCTAACCAATTCCGAGTAATTAAAACAAATTTCAGTGGTTGAATCATTTTATTTGAATGAACAAAGTCTTACAGAGTTAAGGTTTGATAACCTTTATTCTACCATCAATACTTGTTCGACAGACTGGACAATTTTCTTGACCAAGTCTGCTCAGAGTATTGTCACAAGAGACACATACAGCCAAATGATTACATGGTAAATATAACATTTGATGAGTTTGTACTAAACAAACACAACAAAGGTGCCTCTCTACAATAAATCTTTCTTCGTTAGCATAAGGGCAATCTGGAGATAACAGGCTGTGGGTTTCACTTGGATGGTTTTTCAGTTGTCCATCAACAGCCAACCGACAAAAAGCACATTGAACAATCCTGTTTGATCCAGTCCAGAAAAAGCCACTTTCAACGAACCAATTTTTGAACTTGATGCTCAAACTACATTTTTTAAAAGAAAAAACTCTATTAACTCGTAACTGATAGAGCTGGAATACTTTCTCAGGATTCAATGTTTTCTTTTCTGAATAGATTTGTAAAACCTGATCCTCTTCAGCTTGAGTGATGGATGAAATTGGTTGTAAAGTTGCTACTTCAGCATCTCTATCAGCAAGAATTTTTGGATCACCATATCGATGAATACCAGGAGTATCAATCCGAAGTATAAGATTTGGTTCTCTTTTGAGAACAAAACTACATTTAGGACTGAAGCTAGCATGATAACTTACAACATCTTTATGTAAGAGATCAATCGGGACTTGTAATCCACAGCAAAAACATTGTAAATAATCTGAATTACCAAAACGGAAAAATCCATCTCTAATAGCATTCAACCAAGTGCCATCAGTCAAGTCGATACAGGTCATCATTCGATGTAACTCAAGCTTCATAGTTTGGTAGAGATTCAAACAGTTGACCATTTGAGATGGCCAGTTTTCCATAACAGGTGAAATGTTTTTACTCATCTTGAAAGAAAAAAAGACAAAAAAAGAATATAATGTTAATTTGAGATTTTATTCAAGAGAATATTTTGCAATGCAACTTTTCTCTTCATCGATTCAACAAACTTTGAATGGTTTTTACAATTTTTCATTATCATTTTGAGATGATTACATTTGATGAACCAAATTTTTACATCAGTAAATTCGTTGCAATCAACAAGGCATTCAATTTTGTTGGATTGAAAATGACCGAGGATACTTTGATCATTGACTGCCTTGTTACATTGCTTACAGTTGATGATTTTATTTTCAAATTTCAAGTGAATTTTTTTCAGGGTTTGTAAATAGGATTTACAATTACAATTTTTAGGTTTCCTTTTGGGTTTGGGTTTTTTGAACTGAATATCCTTCGTTGGAGCTAGAGTTCCCTTACCTCTGGATACCGTTTTGATAGTTTGAGAAACAATTTTCATTTTAGTAAGTAAGTCCTGTTGGTAAAATGTTTGAAAATATCCTCAACAAGATTAATGTTAACTTCTTCCAGAGAATCAAAAAACTTTCGGTTGTTCACTTTAATGGATTTTGTTTGAGAATCAAAAGAAACGGCAGATTTACTCAATTTTTCTCTTGATTTCTGGTCAAGTAAGGCATAAATAGCAGAAAAATCACTGACTGAAAAATTAAAATCAGCAAAATTTAAAGGTTGATCTAAACTTGGAGTAGAATTTGAATCGATGGGAATTGTACAAATATGAATAAAATGATTGGAAGAAATAGACATGAAAATTACCTTGAATCAAATATAAAAGAAGAAACAAAACAGAAATTAAAACTTGAACAAAGTTAAAGTTCACAAACTGAAGATGAAATTAGACTGATCAATCTTTGAAAATTTTCTCGCTATTTATACCCGTCAACTTTGCTCTCTAACCTGAAACTTGGAACTATAAATCATTTGAATGACCTCGAATAGACTAAACATAATTACCTTTGAATTAATCTTGATTGGAATTTTAAGATTTGTTATAATCAGGAATTCATAGCCTCTGGGTATTGAAGAGGCCTCAAAGTCCTTGAATTTATGACCTTTTATGAAGATTGACATGAACTCATTAATGGTTGGAATTTTTTAAGAAGATTTAATTACTTTTCCATATCCTTGAGCGATGATTGATTCAATGAACTTTAGAAATTACATCTTGAACTCAGCAATGATGACCTTTGATAAGAAACATAAGTACAAGTCCACTGAATTAATACATTGGAATAGCCTAAGAGCCTTGAGTCCATTGAATTAACATTACCCCCCCCCCCACAACAAATTTCGGAGGTACCGAAATTAGTAAGGGGGGTTGAAGATTCAAAAGACTTGTTTGATGTTAAAATACATTGAAATAGCCTAAGAGCCTTTAGTCCATTGAATTATCATTACCCCCCACAACAAATTTCGGAGGTACCGAAATTAGTAAGGGGGGTTGAAGATTCAAAAGACTTGTTTGATGTTAAAATACATTGAAATAGCCTAAGAGCCTTTAGTCCATTGAATTAACATTACCCCCCACAACAAATTTCGGAGGTACCGAAATTAGTAAGGGGGGTTGAAGATTCAAAAGACTTGTTTGATGTTAAAATACATTGAAATAGCCTAAGAGCCTTTAGTCCATTGAATTAACATTACCCCCCACAACAAATTTCGGAGGTACCGAAATTAGTAAGGGGGGTTGAAGATTCAAAAGACTTGTTTGATGTTAAAATACATTGAAATAGCCTAAGAGCCTTTAGTCCATTGAATTAACATTACCACAACAAATTTCGGAGGTACCGAAATACATTGTAATAGCCTAAGAGCCATATGATCATGCGTCCTAATGTTGAGATTTTGTTATTGGTTCTTTCGTATATTCTAGTTCTAACGTACCTCCTCTAATGTTTACGCCGACTCTGTTTTTGGTTAACCTGTTTATTCTTGACTTTTCTGTCAGTTAACTTTCTGCTCTCTCTGTCTACAGTTTTCTTTCTGTTTTCTTTCTACATTTACCTTTATACTTTTGTCTCTATCTTTACCCTTTCTGCTCTAAAATGAATAAATTACTTTTAGATCAACTTAAACTACAAGTTCTTCTCCAACTCTGCATTGGTTTACTTTCTGAGTTTTCTAATGACCCAGAGAAACTTCAATTTTGGACTAATCGGATCAATAATGATCTGGGTTCAATAATTTATAATTTTGTTCTCCCTCAACCACCTGCCTCTATTGTACCACAAAATCTCTCTAACCCAACCCCAGGTACATCTTCTCTTTCTCACCCATGTGATCATGATATTGCTTGTGCTCAGGATATACCACCTCTGGATACTAGTGACAATTTGTTAAATATTCTCCAGGATAATAATTTGTTCCAGGAAAATGATAACAACCATATTCAGGATACTCTATCTGCCTTACTTGATGAAGTTTGTGTTAATCAACCATCAACTGATCAATTAAATACCCAGGAAGAAACTGTTACCGTGAATAGTCCAGTGAATGACTCAGGCATAACATCAAACATGTCAACTCAACATGAACAATCAACAATTACATCAACTAATCTACCTGTGCCTCAAGATCAAAGTGATTCTCTCCCGGATTATTCATCATTACCAACAGCTAAGGTTACTCCATTCAGCTATGTTCCTCGAGAAATTATTCCTGATCCCTCTCAAGATAATAATGAACAAAGTGTAATGAGTGAAGTCCAGAATGTTGATGGATCAAATACAATCAATGACCATGATACAGCTTATGAAAGTGATAGTGAAAATGATGATCCAGAAAATGATCCTGACTTCTCTCCCAAATTAATTTCACCAAGACCATCAACTTCCAGGATGTCAACAAGAACAACAGCACAACTACCTTCTACCTCTAATGAGTCTGATCCTTCTGTAGATGAAACTCCAATGGATACATCTGACCCTCCTGAACCAGAACCTCAACAATCTCAGGTAGAAGAAACTATACAACCTAATCCCTCGGCCCAAGAACCCCAATCTCCACAAGGTAATTCATCAACAAGAATGGATACATCTGATCCTATTGAACCAGAATCGTCTCAGGTAGCTAACTCACCCGAACCCAATGAGTCTAATCTAGTAATTGATGAACAACCCAGCCAACCAGAACCTCAACCTCCTCAGATAGAAGAACAAGTACCTCAAACACCTCAGGTAGAAGAACCCGAACAATCTAATCCACCAGAACCCCAACCTAATCCACCAGAGCCTCAAGCTAATCCACCAGAACCTCAAGCTAATCGACCGAGAAGAGGTTCATACAGATCCCGTGAACCTACACTTGAAGAATTGACTTCATTTCTTAACAGATATAGAGGTAGAATTCAAACACGAGACGATCTTTTGGATATCAACTCTCTTCCTCGACCAACAACAAGTTTAGAAGCTGAAGAAACAATTGATAGATTGAGGATAAATCAAGCAGTTATTGATAAACGAGGAGTACATAACATGTATTTTATCGGTTACTGTTTGACTCTCCATAGAAGGTTGTACGGAGAGACAAGACGAGATGAGTGGATGAGTATCGCCATTCAGAGATTCAATTATGGACAAACATCAATTAGTTTTTTCATAAGAGTTTTCAATGTAATTGATAGATATCCCATGATGATGTTGTTACCATTAACTCGATATCAGTTGGAACGATATCTCTCCTTTTGGGAAAATATCCAATTAATTCCTTCTGAACATGAATTTTGGTCTCGTAATCCTGATCTTTTCAATAATGATGATAACTGAAATCAGTAATCTGTAAACCTTGATCTTAATAAAAAGAATTTCTGAAAATAATCTTCTTTCCAAAAAGTAATTACCTAAAGTAAATCTATACAATGGCCTCAAGCTATAAAGTACCTTTCAAATACATTGAAACTGGTAAAAACCATCAACATATAATTACCTGTCAAAAGATTGATGGTAAGTCTAAGATAATCATTACCTCTTGGATGCTAACTGGACCCCCAGGGGATTATATTGATGGTCCAACCTTTCGTTTAGAAACAAGTTTAAACAAGTTTAAGAGGTTTCTACAATCATTGGAAAGCCCTGAGGCTAATTCCCATACCGAAGTTATCTTCAATAATCTTAGTCACGAAATTGTTAGTATCATTAAGAGTGAATCTTTCAAAACAAAGTTTATTACTTCAATCAATCAATGACAATCTCATTACCTTCTTTATATGGGTTTGGCAAATTGGACAATTCATTTTATCAAGAATACAATCAGTACATGACACAGCATGTTCACAAGGATTTAAAATACATTCAATTTCCTTTTCTTTACAAACTTTACATTTATAACGATCATCCTTAGGCACCACTGCCTTTGGTACTTGTGGTTTCCTTTTAGCTATAACTGATTTGAATATGAACTCCATTCCACATTTAACATAAATGAAATGACAACGTGGGCTATATCTAGCATGTTCAACCAATGGATCATCATCAAGTTGCCAATCATGAATGCATACATTACAATGGAAACATATCACTTTATCTCCTCTACCATGGTAGAAAAAACCAGCTTCAGATAGCTTAACAACATTAATTTCTGGTCTTGGCCAATTACAAAAAGTTTCCAGACGTTCAGATGCACTGAGATAAATTAATTGGTTAGGATAAGCATTTCTAATATTATCAATACTGTAATGATAATACATGTATAAAGAAGGACTTCCAATAAACTTATAACCACACTCGTCAAATGACTCGTCCATTATTAAATGTAATGCTATTTAAACTCTCCTTATATACCGCACAAAAGAATAAACTCATATCGAATAATTAAAAGAAATCATTATCAAAAAATGCATAAGGTCTCTCGTACTTAGACTCAAAGTTAGATGCATGAAAATCGAAGTTCCCCCTGTCACGCCACCATACGATACCATACGATACCACAGGAGAAGACAGGAGAAGAGGGGAAGAGACGGGAGAAGACCAAGGAACGGACAGGATTTGAACCAGGGGGCCAGCCTTCTCAAATCATGCACGTTACCTCTGAGCTAAGTACGAGGACCAAAGGTTGTTTTTCTGGTTTTAGAGGTCATGTGTGTTATAATGTCCAAAAAGAAAGAGAAAAAGAAAGAGAAAAGTGGTTTATAATGTTGCCTTTTACTACTACTATTGTCAATAGAATTTTTCTATTTTTCTCCAGGAACAAAAAATCATTCGAATATATAATTTTCAGAATTTCATGTATTCTATTACATTATCAGCTCTGTTTTCGACATTGAACTCAAGTGTGATTCCATTTCTTGTCCTTCGAAATTTGAAAATCACTGATTGTAGTCATTTAAGAAATGAATTTTCTCGTTCTTCCTATTGCTCCTAATTAAATACAGAATTTATATTTATATTCACACGATTGACTTCATCGGGTATGTGACATTTTGACCTCAAATTGCGAAGAGACTGTGAATCACAAAAATTTCAATTCTTCAGGATTTCAATTCATTAAAAACAAACCACGGTAAGAATGGCTAAATAACCTTGAACTTCCTGTCCCTTTTCAGGATAGAAACACTTAGTTGAATGAATAAGCTTCCATGTATCTGGATAATTTATCATGATAATTATCACATTTGAAGTATTTTAACTTTAGATGTCGATTGTAATTGAATTTTTCTCTTCTCAGCTTGATGTACACAGAATTTTCTATTCAATAGAATATTTTTTCATTTTCTAAACTATTACATGTTATTAACAATCTACATGAAAAGTTTCGTGATTCCATAAAGATATTTTTTCCCTTCTCATGAACTTTCAATGAATGAATACTATCAAAGAGCGTTCATAGTAATTAGACTTATGATAAATATTACTACAGAATTAATCATTTCTATATCAATTCAATGGAAACATTGATCATCATTTGAAATTTCAAGTATTAATTCATTGGAAAAGTTAATTGATGATGATATTAATTTAATACAATGACCATGATAAACTTGACTCATATTTATAAGCATCTACTTGAGAAGTCAATTCATTGAGTAAATCTAATCTACACCATGAAGCTTATCAAGTATTTTCATTGAATATTTCATGAATTTGATTTCTAGAAACAAGTAAACAAAAATATTGAGAATCAACATAAAAACAAACTGTCAGACTGTTTATCATGAACAAAACGATAAATATTGAGATAGAAATGATGACAGGAAAGCTTTTCCTCTCAGACAATCATTTACATTATCATATCATTTTTCAGCATAAACTTCATGATTGATCCGGTTAATCTCATGGAAAACTGAAAAACCAGTATCAATGAATATAGAAGTGTAAGTTCAAGGTTAGGCTCAGTAATTTTCAATTGATTTCCTTGGGATATGTAAATAAACTGAATTCAATGGGAGTTAAAACACTACTCATGAAAATCATGGAGAAAAAAATAACAAAATAACTTCAAATGAACTCGATTAAAATGTGAAAATTGAAGAAATTTCTAGGAAATTCTGAGTATTTTTTTCCGTAAAGCTGAGCTCAAGTTCTTAAAACTAAGATAAGTCAACTGAATGGTATAAATTCAACAGTTTTAATGAGAAGAATAAAGAATCGGTTTCATTATTCATCGATATCATGACTATGATTTCAATCTATGGATTAGTGAAGTTAATTAACGATAAATCAAACAAATCTGTTCTTAATTGCTTTCTATCAACAGCTAAGCGATAATTTAATAGAATCGGATAAGGAAATTCAGCTAATTCTTCTAATAATGTTAATCTCGCTAATTTTATGAAGGAGACTGAAAATTAGGGGCAAAAACAAGACTAATTAATCGGAAATAATCATTTGTATTCTCATTATCACCAGACTCATCAAGAAATAATATCGTTCAATATAATTTTCATGCTAAAAAATCTCGATTTTCTGTCCAGAACTGGAAAAGCTAATGATCATCATAAAGATTCAATATTCTGAGGACACACTGAACTTTATATCTTGGATAAACAATTGCCCTTGAAGATTTCAGGACCACATCAATTGTGATAAGAAGAGAGAGAGAGAGAGAGAGAGAGAGAGATAATTTTATCTTCACGGATTAAGACAAGGAATTAACAGTATCATTATCATCAGAATAGCGAATTTCATTGTTACTAATGCAATTCTCAGCAATACTCTCATCCAAATTTCAGTTTTATTACAAAGTTTATTATTATTGTAATAATTTATTTCAAGGTGTATATTGGGATGAGCAATGAAAAAAGGCATAACAACAATAATAATAGTTGAATTGTATTCATGGCATGAGGATATTATTGCTATGAGTAGTTTTTTCTGTTATTGTTGTTTTTTCAAGATAATTATTCAGTATTTTTCTTACCTCTTCCAGCCATAGAAGTGGATAGACCATATCTTTCAACGAAATACCTCTGAGAATAGTAAAATGATTAAATGAGTGAGTAAAAAAATAAAATCATTCCAACAGTGAACATGTATTAAATACATCACTTAGATAGTCACTTGAAGGCAAAATTCATCAGAGTTTCATGAAATTTTAGTTTAGTTTTGTCTCCATGATTTTTAGTTACCTTTCAGTTTGAATACCATTTTTCTCATGTGTTATAATCAAATAAAAAATGAAAACTTTCAATGGCAAAGAAAAGGTTTAAATGAACCACTAAGGGAACTAAATACTTCAGAAAAAAGTTCTGAGCTTTATTCTGACTCATTATCATGAAACTTTTACAACTTATTTGCTTCCCTCATGTGATTTTATGACAGATTTAAGACTTACCCGAGGTTGTAAGTGTAACGAAGTCGAAGATTGAATTGTATCCTCCGACGAGCTGATAAAACTATTCCCGTTAACTGTAAATGAACATAAATATAAAGAGAAAGGTAAAAGTTTATAAATATATCGAGTACCTTGAGAGAGAGAGAGAGAGAGAGAGAGAGAGAGAGAGTTTGAAAGGTTCTATTTTAATAATATCTCGAAAGAATTTAAGATTCTCTAAACTTATCAATGTAAATTGGTGTTTCTTATTTTTCTTTTAGTTCATTGGTTTCCAAGCGGTGGTCATTAGATGCTCTAACTTTAGATACATGTATAATCTTTTTTAATGAATGAGAACCGAACTTACTCTCTCAATATCAAGATATGACTGATGTTTAATAGCATCCGGACTGATTCCCTCTGCGGCTTGGATTAAAAGAGGATCGGAATACAGAAAGTGAGGCAAAGAAATGACCAAAGGTACTCCATTGTTACACCTTGAAATGTCCAGAACACCATCAAGTGAACAGAAACCGGAATCAGTTAGACTTGTGTCATTTGAGATACAAAAACATTCATTATCGATACTATTTGATGGAGCATCAAGTAGACCACGAGCAGCGATAAAACGAGAAGCAGTAATTCCTTGGACATTAGTGTCACCAGAATTTTCCAATAATAAAGATCTGAAAAGAGATAGAGAAAGAGAAAAGGAAAGAGATAATTGAATAGAAGAAGTTGAATAGCAAAGGATCAACAAGACGGTTGAACAAATAGACCTCAAGATAAGATAAATACAAGAAAATGACGGTGAAAACTCATTATCGAAATGATATAATTGATACAAGAGGGAGTAAAATCTGTAAAAATTGAATAAACAAAAAGATTGAAATGCAAAAGTTCAAATATTCTGGACACTCAATTCATCTTATCAAAAGTCAAACATACAAGCATTTCATTGAATGAAAGTTATTCCTTATATTCAGAATTCAAGTCTGAATGAACTGATACGAACAGGCTAATTTTACATTGAATCCACAGGTAGGATATAATCGAGTTGATATTTTTTTCTATCCAGTCCAAAACGTATCAGTACGAATCAGTATGATTATATAATGTGAGCCTTGATACCATCTCTCATTTGGGACAAGCTTGTTTACTTTTGAAATGAAATTTTGCTAAATCAAAAAAAACTCAGTTGACCATGAATATCATTTAACTTTGATTTCATTATTTTTTGTTCCATCTTAATTATCAAACTTTTTCCTAATTATCAATATCCTAGATTCTGGATTCCCTTAGTATCATGGTAATGATCCGGACCATCACTTTCATGATACATTAAATCTCAAATTTCATTCATCCCAAAGGTAACATGATTCAACTTAGTGTCTTTCAATGGTAATAACTTGTTATTTAAGAATCACGTTGATAAATTATCATGAAAATGTTAATTCAATGGTTGATTATTGAAATTACGAAATTTTTTGGGTCAAATTGCAAAGACCAAAGCTAAGGAAACATTTTCTTGATGTACATGGAGGACACATGATGTTGATTTGTAAAGATCATGGTTAAAAACAGTATTACCTTTATACTATGAACTTTAAACTTGAGAAAAATCATGTTTTCAATTTTAGTGAATTCTCAATGAATTGGATGGTTCAAACATTGAAACAACGAAATCAAATGAATTTCAAATGTTATCAATTCATTTACTCAATACATGTATGATCCTGAACTCTGCAGATAATGTTGAACATCAGGAGATTATCTAGATTTAACTGTTACAATTGAAAGAAGAATCTGAGCCTTGAAATTGTCTTGTTTCTCTGATACATTATTTTATTTCTATCAACAAGAATATAATGAAAAGATTTAATTGTCAGATTCAACAGATTACCTAATTGTCTATAAGTAAAACTTGATTCCCTCTCACTAATTGTGTAATTAATTCTTTGAGTTAATTGGCACTCAGTGAACAAGCAAATCTAAATAAATGCTAAGCACAAATTTCATACATCTCAGAGAAGCTGAATTACCCCCTCCTCTATTTTAACTACCACTATGATAACAAAAACAGCTCATTTGATCAACTTATCAAATCATCATGAATATTAGTATTATCGCAAGGTGATAATGAACACAGATTCACCATGATGCAATTTTTTGATGAATTTTGTTCATAAAATACAAAAGCAGACTAACAAAGCCTAACACTTCTCATCAAATGAATTTTGACAAACTAAGCTGAGTGATTAAGTTAGTTTTCATGGTGAATCAGAATTTCAAGAATCAAAAAAAGAAAATTTCCTCAATGGAAACAAAGTTTGAAATTCAAGTTTGGAAAATGACAAAAGTGAGAAAAACTTTTTCATCTTTGTCTTCATCTTCATCCTCATCATTGGAATTCTTTTCTCCCTCTCTCTCACGATTTTCATGAGTAAACAATGAATTTAGATAATGAAAAAATCACTGTAACGACAATAATAGCATCTATAATTCTTAATGATTTGTAGACTCAACATGATGTAAGAAATTAAATAGAACATAAAAAAAGTTCATTTCAAATTATATCTACCATGAAAACATCATGTCTGTCATTTTCTATGTCATCAATTCAACATTTTGTCTTCTTTCAAATATTAAACTCTACTCATTCCTCATCCCAATAGAAAAATAAATGAACACAAACAATCATAAGAATTGAGGGAAAATCAAAAAATCTCAGTAAATAAGATAATTAAACTAACCCTCTAATGGATTAACCTTTTCGTTTGATTGTTCATCATTAAATTGATTGTTATTACTGATCATTGAGATACTCAAGTGACCTTGATTGATTATCTTCCCGATTGTTTAACAAGTTATTGTGGAATAACAATCAACAATCAAGTTTATTTTTCCATGTTAACTGATTTGATTAATCAATAACAATTCATCATGATAATACCAATATTTGGGTTAATCAGGAAAAGAGTAAGAAAAAAAATTCAATCAACTTTAATGAGCTGATGAAATTTATGCTTACAGGTGATTATTGATGATTAATTTTCATAATATTAATGAATATCAACACCTATTCCCATTATTTGAACATTAATTGTAAACAATTAACTTTCATTTACACTTTGAAAAGTGAGACGAAATCGTTAATAATTAACATTGACAATAAGGGTAAATTTTTCACCTCTTCCTACTTCCTTCAATGATTAATTGTAATTGTTTACTAATCAGATCATGATAATAAATTAATCTTAACTAATAGATTAAGAAAATTGGAATAAAGAGAAAATAAAATCACAAGCAATATAATAATTCATCTAATTGATACCAGAATAGTAGTTAAGTAGGAGATTAACATGATGACACGTATTATTATTAATATTATCATGACAAATTGTTATTGTATTATTATTAACATGATGGTAGCATTTGACTATCGGGAGTTTAAGTTGTTTACACCAATCAAGCCATTAGCTTCATTTTTCGCTCATTCTAGATTCAAGATTCATCTCATCATCATGATAGTCAACTACAATTTCAGAATCATGTTTATCTTGTCTAACAGATTTTGAGCATTTCTCATTTTTGTTATTCATTCTTTATATTTACTTTACATTTTCCATGGCAGAATCAGAATGATAATCAATATATTTTTATACGAATTCATGGTTCAAGTTAATGTTGACACAATATACTCAGGTAACATGACAACTATTTACTAAATACATGATGATAATAGCCTGATAAACCATGATTCTCATTCAAAATTATCAATCAAATTATTAACCATTATCTTGTTTAATAGTAAATTTATTTTATCACCTTTATAATAATATAACCTTATCATCAGTATATTGATAATTAATTAATGGGAAAATCGTGATTATGTTGACATGTATTCATCAGAATTTCAAATATGTCTCTATGAATATAAATATCTTCCTTTTATCATCATCAGGCTGACAATGATTATTATCATCATAAGTTTAGATTTGTCCAAATGTGAGAATCAAAATCCTCATGAGGTTTTATCATAAACAAGAATATCTTTCAGAATTTAATAGTTGCAGCTTATCATCATTCAGAATCATCACAATCATTAAAGGTTATTTTTTACTCATATTATCAGTTCTATTTTCTCAAGTTATTAATGAAAATATTAGTAAATATGATCAGAGAGAGAGAGAGAGAGAGAGAGAGAGAGAGAGATTATATCTCTTATAGAAAGTGGATTTACTTTTGGATAAGAGATATTTGAGAAATAAATTGCTTCCTAAAAAATGTATTATCTATTGAATATCCACCCACAACTCTTTCAACCTCTACTGATGATCTTGTATCAACAAGAAATCATGTTTTATGATAACGAGTGTTGAATAATGATAATCAAGATGCTTCCATTATCATCTAATCTTCAAAACTAAATACCGATTTTTACCCTAACAAGAATCTCATCTTGGTAACATTTTCTTTATCTACATTAGCATCTTTTCACTTGATGAAGTAAAAATGTATATACTATTGACTTTCCTTGATAATCATTGACTATCTTGATGGACTTTCCATCGTTACTTTGATAATGTCACATTCTCATCATCATATTGTTGCTTCAATGTCAATTATCAACTCAAAAGACAATAACGATCGTTATTGCATATGTCGACATTTTCAATTCTAAAAATATAAACTTCTAATAAACAAACAGCTCGATTGGCCAGTAGAGAATAATCTTCGATGAACCTTTCAGGAAAAAAAGAAGAAAAGAAATTCTGACCTCGATTGGAATGAAAACTTTGTTTTAATTAGGAGAAAGTAATTGTTTAGAAGTATAATTGAGAATATGAAAAGAAGAGTTAATTAAAGTTTCGGTCAATTGTATTTCAATCAAATGATTCACAGAATTGACAGGAAATGGTAAAGGTTAATGGAGACATTTAACTCTACAAGTTCATATTTATTTTCCAATCTCATAATTTCATCAATTTATGTTTAGTATAAAACACGATTCTTGATGATGATAACATTTTTATTCTGATTCTTTGATTGCTTTTCAATTTACTGTTATTTCATTCAAATTCACTTTATAAACTGTTAAATTCATTTTCATCATCATCATTATTCTGATAGTTGGTGAATACTTTTAGATAGGAAACTTGGAATCTTTTTATTTCCTTCTCACAAAGAATTCATATTATTAAAAGGAGGAAGAGGAGAAAAAAAAATATTCTCTATTTTTTCAGTCATAATTTACTTTTCTAATTTTCCAGCATCATCATCATCTATTACTATCAATTATTATAATAATAATTTTGAGTTCTTGGTGTTTTTATCGCACTTATAACTGTTCATATGGTAATCATGATAATCATAGTTTTAAGATTCTTAAAAGCCTTAAGCTATTGTTACAAGTAAATTGTTGTCAACTTAATTATCATCATGTTGGATATTAAATTGTGTTCATTATGAAATTATAATTTTATCCTGAATGCTGTCAGAATTAGATGAGAATAAAATTTTTGATCCTCTGAGATTCAGTGTGAGTAGATTTTTTTTATTAGACAACTTTTTTTTTATCCACTTTTGAATTGGAACGATAATGAATATTGGCAGGCTAATAAGTGGCTGGCAATCTGATGCTACGATTATATCATGAAGTTCACCTGATTATCGAGTAAAACCTGAATAACGTAATAGTTTCAAGTGAATCTCTCAAAATATATATTTTACTTCACCGAAATTCTAATAACAATAGGAATAAGGTTTGATTCAGATTCTGATAACAATGATTACTTGAGATAATCATTTGTAATTTCCTGATGGACAGTATAACAATATTATATAAGAATCATTTTCTCATGATAAATTCATTGTTTTCCATGATAATAGAAATAGTTTATTATAAAAAGTAATCAATAAATTCAATCTCAATTGAATAGCTGATTAGTTTATATAAATAAACTAAATCATAAAGATGAATAAGTTTAACTATGAAACTTTGTTTCATTTCAATTCTTATGATTCATGTTAATTGTAGATTAAAATGAATCATTTTAATTGCTCACTCAACCGATATTAACAATTAATCAGTTAATTGTGTATCTAATTGTTTTACTTTTCAATCCCTATGGAGTCAAAAACCACTCGTGATCAATTTCAAAGGTTAAACATCAATGTCAACCATTGAAACTTTAATTGCGTTGAAACAATTAGTCAATTAACAGTTAATATATTAATAAACTGAAATGATTATCAATCTCATTCACTAGTACATAACCAATTAAATATTTTAAAAGCTTTAAGAGCATCTCAATTAGTCTTAAAATTAAGATTTGATTGCTAATTAGTTTTACTTTGATTAATACTTTGAATGAGCTTCAATTCAATACAGATACAACTAGTGATTTCTAGTGAGTAAAATTTGAAATGATTTATTGATTGTCGGTAAATTTTTTCACAAGCTTGCAACAATCACAATGATAAAGTAATAGAACCGTAAATCACTTGAGTATAAGTAGTTAATAAAAATCAATCGGTAACAATTAAATGGTTAATTGCTTACCTGTTTACTTCAGCATTGAAGGCATACAAATTTTCCGTTGAGGAAATCATCGGATGGAACCAGGTACCATCAGTACCATTGAGCATTCCACATCGACTATCAGCCCAACAATTAACAGTTCTAATTACAATTGAAAAGATTAACAATTAGTTATTAGACTTTCAAATTTCACTCAGAATTATAATACAATCAATGGTTTACAAATTATATTCACTTACCTTTCACCTCGCCATTTATGCATAAGAAGCAATTTTTTTACATCATCTTTACCTGTGAACGCTGTTAAGACACCATTACCTGTGTTGTTTTGCTAATTAATTTAATTAACCACAAAAATTGAATAAAAGAAAATTACAATCAATCAATAACAAAATCAAGAGTAACAATTAACAGCTCAGAATCTAAATGGAAACAATCAAGTTGTAAGTCAAATCATCAAAGTCAAATAATTTAACTATCTCTTTTTGTTATCAAGGAGAATTGATTAAGAAAACTAATCAAGTTTAAATTGATTGTTGATTGTTTGTTTTTCTGGTTCAAGATAAGTTATCTTAAAGGAAACTTTCTGGTTTTGTTAACCTAAAAATTGTCACTTCTATTGTGAATAAAAGCCAATAGATGGCAATAGTTAGATTAGAACTTTTTTTCTCGATTTGGTTTCAACTATTTGCTTTAAATTTCGTGAAACTTTTTTTTCTGTTTGAAATCGGGTCAATAAGTTGATTCAATTTTCTGTTTAACCTTCTTGTTGACCTTGTGATAGTTCAATTGATGATCTTTTGCCTTTGATATATGACGAGAAAAGTGGAAGAATGAAAAAGAAGAAGAAAAAAATTCGTCAACCATATTGACTGGTCACTTACTCCATACATGATACCAAATTTATCGGGAAAATGTATTCTTAGGTTACGAGAGAATGATGCTAATTTGGTAACAAATGGAACTTCAAATCCATCAAAAAGCACTTGACCAATGGTCAAATTGAGAAACAAACCTCCACCGTGTTTCTTAATTATTGCACCAGCAGTTTTCTTGAACATTGAAGCTCGATCTGAAATAGTTTTTGCTATAGCCTGAGGGTAAATTCAAGAGAAGAGAGAGAGAGAGAGAAAAATTAATTTTTAAAATCTTTTTTCATTTGATAGTATTAATAACTGGCGTATTTCTTGCTTTGAATTATTGTTTACATGAGTTTAAAGATTTTGTTACAGTTTCCATGTTGATGATTAATTATTTAGCAAGAACTTTTTTTTTACCATGTAGATAATAATAACTTACCACTACAGGGAAGTTGATTAATGTTATTTCATCTTCTAAACTTCCTGAGGATAGTTCAGGCTCGAAATGGTAACTACGAATAGTTTCATAGTCCATCATGGTCTCATCCATATTCCATGAGTGGATAATGTTTCGTCGAATCTGCCTAAAGGTGTATGGACCCATTTCCGTGAAATTTGGTTTCTCACCGGAAATATAATCATCGACATTAGTTAAATTGAAGAGATAGAAACGAGTATAAATAGGAATATCTGGATTAGACCAGGTCAGTGTTGTCTCAGATCCATTGGTCAATGGGAATCTCTATTCAAAGTAACAGAATTGAAAGAGAATTTCAGAAAAAAATAGATAACATTGAATCTCTTTAATTGAATAATCGCCAATATCCTTCTTCTTAATAAGCAAAAACTTTTTTCGTCTCTCGACAAGTGCTCAATAGTCTACCCTGATTGATAATCTTTAGTCAACGAATTGATAGATATTTGTATTGATTGCATGTGGAACCATGAGTCAAGTGTAAATCTCGCTAATTAATTAATTAACTGATCGATTAGTGAAACTTTTGTTTCTCAGAGCAAACCAGAAATGAATTCATGGTGATAATGAACACGCAACAATATATACAGTGAATGTTCAAGTCTCTCTCTCTCTCTCTCTCTCTCTCTCTCTCATCGAGACTACAATCCTTGAGTATATGTAGACATTTCCTTTCTCTCTCTCAACTGAATATTATCATGAATAAAATACCATGATTCATGGTACATTCTCAAGTGAAATAAATGGATAAAGATAAAAGATGAGAAGAAGAAAGAAAACAAAAAGTTGAGCCCACAGTTTTATGATACAGAAGAACAAAAAATCAGAATCACTTTCTCTCTCTATCTCATCTCATTTATCTCTATCTGTCTAATTTCATCATGAAAATGACTCATAATTTTTGTTTTCTTTTACTTTTCTCCACTCATTTAATCTAATATCATGAATTCTGAATCTCTATCAAAATGATCATCTTTAATCTTCGTTATGATAACATTTAATCAAGAGAAGCGCGTCATTGAAACAAAATATTCCCATGGAAATGATTATCTCATAAAAGATCATCATATCAAATAAATAGCCAAAGAGAAGACAAAAATCATGCTGATTAGTTGATTAATTATCTAATCCATTAAAAGAAAACAATCAATTTGATCAATTATATTAGCTAATCTTCACTTTTCCTCTCTATCTCTTTGTCAAATTAATCTTCTAATCAAAAGTGTTAACACAAAGAAAGTCCAACTTAAACTATTGTTTAAATCTAAAGGATTAACTAATCATCTATGGAAAGCAAAACCAAAGGTCTAAATGATCATCAAGTAGTATTAATAACTTATCACTTTCAATGTTAATCCAATTAAGCAAATCAATATTTTGCAATATCCCGTTAATCTTGATTGTCTTATCTTTATCTAATCCTTGAGCATTCCGGAGACAGGCTAAGATATTAATAAATGTTACCACTTATTAGTAATTATCTGGATAATATAATCATAATGGAAAGTTAATCACAATTGATTAGGAGAAATGGAAGCACAAAAAAGTAACTCAATCAATAGAATCCAAAAGTTAATCAAGTTCACTTTTCAATTTACTTTCTCAACAACTTCTTCTTAATCATAAAATAGTCTTAAATTAAATACACCTTGTTGTTCAACTAGAACTGAATTCAATTTCTCAATTATTCATCATGTAATATACTTATACTGTGTGACCAGGAAACCTAAAAGGTAAATAAAGGATAAGCTCAGGTAAGAAACAAACAAAAACTTTGGTCTCTTTGGGTATACAATAGAGACAAGAAAATCTATTTACTTTATATTAGATTTGTTTACCTTGAACCTATGAAGGTATTCAATTGGATACATACAATTGTAATGATTTACTGATTGTTGGTATTTGGTTCTTGTATTGTCAAAAATGAGATGATCATAATTGTCAAGTTGAAAATTTTGAACAATCGTTAACACTAATCAATATGATTATTGGGAATAAGGTAAATCCGATTATGACCACTCACAATCATCAGTCTTTGGTCAGTTTGATTATTGCTAGAAGATTAATTGTTGAGTTGATTCAATGATCAATTTGTAATAATTATTTTTTACTTCTAATTGTAATATATTCATACGTTGGTTTAGATTTTAACAGTTATCTTTTTCCCCCTTGTTATTATCTTGACAATCTTATTGTGATAATTTTTTTTGTACCTTCGTCATTATATTCAAAGTGATTGAGAATCCATGAGATTAACATGAAGTAAACATTTTTATTAATATTATTAGAATTGATAATTTCATTTTTACTTTATCATTCTGATGAAATCCATGAAAACTGTTACTGAAAATCATCATATTAAATGCAAATACCATCACATTGTATAATATAATATTAGATTTCATTCAAATGAAATTGTGATATATTAATATAATCATGGATTCATCTTCAAGTAAATAAAATTAAATTTCCTGCATCAAGGTGTATTAGCTGATGTAATATGTATTTGTAAAGTTAATAAAAATATTACAATAATTTTGATGCATAAAAATGATAATAATGATAACATCATACTCAGTATTTTATACATGGTGTATCTACATGGTGTATTAAGGATTAACTAGACTTTAATTGGACTTACATAATTATTACTTGTAACACTAATGATGCTAATATCATTTGATGATAGTGATTAATCCAGATCTAATACAGATTCCAAGTCAATTCCAATTGAAACGATTCATCATGATGATGATCACTTTTCTGGAAACTTTCATTAGATATTAATAATACTCTGAGAATCTATGGAGGAACCCAAGTAAACCCAACCAACCAAAATTCTTTCATCATCATTATCATCATCTTCCTCTTCTTAAACTCACTTTCACCAATCAACCCTATTTCCTTATTCTTCCTCCTCATCCTACTTCCTTTTCCTTTACTTTCTCTCTCTCTCTCTCTCTCTCTCTCTCTCTCTCTCTCTCTCTCTCTCTCTCTCTCATCAGGTTCTGACCGAAATTTGCTACAGATTAGAAGCATATTTCAGATTAACTGAAGGAAGAAAAAAAACTCAAGATTATCTCTGCTAATATCAATACGATGATCATTTGCTAATAGGATTGATGGACGAAAAAAAAGCTTCAAGTCCAGGGTCAAAGACTATTTAACAGCATCCTGATGATGATGACGATCAACATGATGATCAACATTTTCAATCATCAAGAATGTTATAATATTGATGAAAAAATAGAGAAAAAAAATCAATTAATCAAAGTGAAAGAGAGAAGAAATTGTTTCTGCTTTTGCAAACATTTACTTTTCTCTTTGCAATTGGTGAAAATTTAAGAAAAGTCAACATTTGATATCTAATACATTAGGAATTAGATATAAATGAGAAATCCTATTGCACAGAAAACAAGAAAGTCAAGGTAAGGTCAAAATTTTGGGTTAAATTTTCTCAACTGTTCGTAAGCATATTAACAAACTTGTAAAGGTCAATTTACCTTTGAATTTGATTAAAATCTAATGATAAGACATGTTGGTTACGCAATAGATGAACATTTTTGTTTAATATTATGACGATTAGAAACCAGAATATCATAAGGCATTAACATTATCTTAAAGTCAATATTAGACATCAACGTGATCCTAATCTGATATCATAAATAACTTTGGATTTAGTTGATGAATTAAGACAAAACTTAAATAGACAAACATACGATAAGTGTACACATACATGGATATACGTAAGGTCTAACCCATTACTAGAATTTATCATAATAATAGTGATGATGAAAGTTGATTTCATGTTATCGTAAGCAGAAAATTTTGAACTTTCATCTTTGCTTGAAACTGAACTTCATCAAAAACTTATTTCCATTGTGAGTATTTGTTGATTAAGTTGAGGAGAAATTTGAGCAACAGAATAAGATAGAGACACAATATCTCTGAGAGATTAACTATAACCAACGGATGGGGAATCAGATAAATCTGTCACAAATTCAGATTTGTTCCAAGTATTTGGATTATTCTCAATTAGAATATCAATTTATTGAACAAAATCACTAAGTGATGGTTAAAATGAACTGAACTTTATTGAGAACTTAATAGAAACAGAGAAGGTAAATTGAGTTTAACATGGAGATACTTGAACTTAACAGTTAAAGTGAAGGCATTAAACTGAGGATTAGTTGAAGAGATTAAAGTAATAAAGAAAACAAAATTGGGGAAGATGATTAATAATCATAATTAGTAATAGTTAAAGGGAAAAATTTAACGTTTTTATCACTTTAGTGATCATCATAGACAAGGATAAGATTAGCAAGTGAACAATACTGTCGCGCCAAAATCATCTTCTTTGTAATGATGATGATGATAAGAAGTTTTAACCTCTGAAAGGTAAAAGGCTTGTTAAAGCTAAAAGGATAAGAAAGGGAAGAGAAAGAAGAAAAGAAAGAGAAAATCAAAGTCTTTCTAATTTGGCCAAAGTTTTGGTACTTTAAGAAGAGACCATTGAATGGTAATTAACGGAATTTTGGTTAAACTGTTAAACAATTAGATCACTTTAGTGATACAGAGATTAAGCATAAAGAGATTGATTAGCTTAATTAAGCAAGAGATTAATATGAATAAAATGAAAATTAAAGAAAACTAAGTTTTAGAAAATGGGAAAAATAAATGAAGGAATTGAATAAAATTATTCAATAATCAGGAAAAGATCATCGAAGTGATACAATTGGAGTTCTGATGGATTCCGTGTTTTATACCCTTCAGTTCCCGGTTTTGATGAAGATAGTTCATTAGAACTCGACTTTGGATCCTTCGAGGGCTTTGGGAAACTTCTTGGTTATTAGAACTCTGAGAGTTAATAATAGTATCAGGATCGGGTATTGGTGATGAACGGACTGAGTTAGGTGGAGATTGAGTAGGAACATAATGTTCATTGTCAGGTGGATTACCAAAGGTAAATGGAGGAGGTGAATTTTTATGATCAGATTGAGAAGATTTTGACTTCTCAGATGAATGGGAATTAGAAGTGGTTGATGATGATGAAGATGATGAAGATGATGAAGATGATGAAGATTTGGAGCCTGAGGCTCTTTTATCATTGAATGATTTGGGTGATGATGGTGGTGGTGATTTGATTGGTGTAACTTGGACAGAATTGAGTGGGAACGGAGTGGATGAGGTTGATTGTGTTGAGTAACACATGTAATCACTATATTCAGGAATAGTTTCATGATGGTGGAAATAAGACCAATTTCTCG